TTTGGAGAGGTGGCGGAGGAGGCACTGGAACAATCCCTAAAGTAGGGAACGGAGGAGGTTGAGGCAAGTTTGGCGACTCAAAGGATTCCCTTTGATCTCGGTCAACAGGTGAATCTGAAAATTGGCATTTCCGTGCTGATAATCCAACTGCATTTTTCTTTTCTATGGAATACTAATCCACGGGAGATTATGATTTTGGGACTAAGATAAGTAGAGAGTTTGAAAAAAATGGAGTGAAAAACCAACTTGATAAAATAATGCTCAAAAGTAGATAAATGTAAGAGTCTCGTTTTCTGACTTGCCAAAAGCATACGCCTCCGTTAAACAAGGCAATAAAACTCTTGATGCACCTACTCACAAACTCCAAAGCAAGTTTTTCAAAATCAATGCACTCAAGAAATTAAGAGTCACTGACCGGTTTCCGAAATATCGTTATCACCGTAGACTGGCGGCACTGGAGGAGGTCCAGGCAACATTTCATTACATGACAAAACATTCTGATCGCTGCCTTCTCTCTAAAAGTAGAAACTTGAAGACGGTCTAAAATCTATACATAAATGGATAGGAGACACCTTGAAGAACGTTGACTTAAGCTCATCTTATGTACAGGCAGCACAAATTACGGAACTATTCATGCCCTCGTGCCCAACTCATACTGTTTTATAATCCTTCATGAACTGTGCTCTTACACTGCACACAAGAATGGACGCCATGTGAATCTACGTAGCTGGCTGCGAGAAGTTTGCGCGCAGTAAGAATACCGCGCAGCCATGGCTGCTCTTTCGAAGGCTTAGCCTAGAGAGCTTCTTGTAAGGAAAATTCTTTCAGAGGAACTGGATGAGGATGATTGTCGACAATATCGTAAATGCGGCAATTTTCTTTGCGTGCCACTATTTATCTTACTTTCTTCGCAAACCACCTTAGGTGTTCAATAAATTACTTTTAATTAAGAAGATAATGATCTTTTCCTTATAAAAGAGGAAATTTCTTCGAACGATCTTTCATAAGGAGAAAATCATTAGCTTTTTTCATGTAACCACTGACAGCTACCATCAAGTCTGCCTCGACGTTCGTGCATGTAGCTAGATTAGTAGATGGCGCCAAAAAAATGTACAGCATGCAAACTTCTAGATGCATAGAATCATTACGCTCAAACGATTAGGTTAGTTTTGTCACGTATCCGGCACACATCTGCCAAGATATCACATAAAAACAAACGAAAATATTTGCATTCGGAATCTTGACATTTGAATAAGAAATTTAATTGGAGAACATGGCTATCTTCATAGTCCCAAGATAAGGAAGTCATATTTGGGTAACGGCAATGCGAC